GTGGATATGAAAAAGGGAACTTCTGAGAGTTGGAGAATAGATAAGGTTGAAGTCCAATTTAGGGTTGTTGAAAGCCCCTCTCCTGACTGTTTAATGTCCTTATAAGACGAGAAAATGCCATTTCCAATTTTGCTGCCAGCAGCTCCGTCATTAGGGAGGAAAGGGAGGGATGAGAGAGGAAGAGAAAAAGCAAAGCAAGTGGTAGAGACGATTGACTTTGGAGAAGTCCGAGTGATTGGGAACAGCCAAGTGCACAGCACTGATATCAGGAGAGTAATGGTACAGGTTAAAAAAATAAATAAAATAAATTGACAGACACTAGTGATTCATACATCCCTTGTGAGTGTTTCCAGCCCACCGTCTCCCATCGTCACCTCTCAGAGGGGCAGGAATCTGAGGGGCTGCCGGAGAAGAAGGGCAGCTCAAACCTTCAAGCTGCATTCCCGTTAATCTTCCCCTTTCACCCTCGTAATTTCTGTTCTGTGTTTTGCTTTTGTATTCTGTACAGTTGTCTGGTGAAAGATTTGTGGGGAGCTTGGGCTGTCCTCTCGGGCTCCGTGTTTGGTGTTTTTCTGCTCGTCCTGGACAACCCCTGCTGCTTCTGACAGCGCATGTCACTTTGGATTAGTGAAATTCCAATTCCAGAAATTCTAGTTGGCCCTAGATGCCAGCTAATGCTCATGACCAGTGCACAGGCTTGAAAGACTTAAAAAATGTTTTACTCTCAAGGCCCCTTTACGCTAGTGCCTAATCGGGAGTGGGTACTAAACCAAGTCAAGTCAGGTCAAAGAGGAGGTACTGGTGGAAAAGGCCATTTGTAAGACAAAGCGGACTATCGACCATTTAAAAGGGAAGTCGTGGTGGAATGCAGACATGCGGATAACATAAGGTGTTTTTTTTTTTAATCGGTCGAACCAAACACGCTCTCTTTTTGTTCCTCAGCAAATGCCCCCCCCTTCGCACCAATGAATTCGGGTTATTTTCTGATTTTTCACTTTTGTTGCAGATCCGTCTAAGCTCTCATCACGTCCAGCCTGCAGATTCTTTCTAATGAGAGCTCCGAGGGGTCTATCGAGGCACATATGCAAATCTTTTATTTTCTTTTTGGCGGCGTGGCAGAAGGTGCCAACAGGGGTGAAGGAAATTTCTGACCACTCTTTAGGCAGAGTGCTTTCGTGAGGGGCTTTTCAGAGTGAAAATAGGAAATGTGCCCAAAGTATTGGTGCTCTTAAAGCAAACGAGGTGGCGGGATCGTGGTCATTTGTCTTCCGTCCGTCTGGCCGTATGTGCGGTCGGTGCGACGCTCTGGTCTCCTTGCACAGCTCTCTTCCATCTACTCATTGTGAGGCAGCTCGTTATCCCCGGCTTTTTCAGCACTCCTCTCTGTATCAGCGCGTTCCTGTTGGTCGGACAGCACCGAAGCTCGTTTTCTTGGCACTCAGAAAAAGTCTTGCCCGGTCGGACCCGTCTAGTCTGCCTACTAATCACATTCCCTGTTCCCGAGTCTTCCCGCCAAGACCCACCCAGCCTCGGCCCGCTTTTAAGCCCATCGTGAATGCTTGCCTTCAATCTACCATGACACCCTTTTATGGCTCGGTCTCTCTGTTCACCCATCAAATTGTGTTTTACTGCGCAATTTCCAGTTTTCTAACACACAACCCCAACAGGCTGTTGCTTGTTTTGCCACATAAATACACCATAATGTCCTTATAAAGTTTTATAAATTGAGAAACTGAGGGAATAATCCTTTAAAGGAGCAATGCATTTTTCAAAAGAAACAATAGTTGAAGATAACTTTCAGAATTCGTGCGGCAGAGATCTGTTTGCAAATGTTTGTGCCAAAATTGAGAGGAGTGTTATTGAGAAGCTGCTACATTTGAGGAGATGTAACTACTGCAGTGGACAGATGACTGCGCCTCAGCAGAGGAATAATGATGAGCCGGCCAGCACCATGAAAGAAGCCTTATTCTGAAGTCTCCTGAGCGGACCGAGACTGTAGATAGATGCTGCTTAAGCAACTTGCGTAATCATCGGGCTTTCTGCTTAATCCCTTCACCAAAACATTGCACGGCCTGTGCGCAGCTCAGAGACAATTTAAAGTACTCTATTCAAATCATTTCTCAGATTGTTTTTTTCTTTTTAAGCTGTCCAATCCTTTGTTTATTCACAATTTTTGAATGAATGGGGTAAATTTCGTGATTATGGCATTCATGGATGCCACCTCTTATTCCAAGAGGCAACTCAAATAAAATTAGATTTAAGTGTATAAAGTGATGACAGACTGGTCTAAATATAAGGTTTAAGGTTTCTCCATTCATGTATCTGCAGGTGCTTTTGATCCTGTGTACAGCTACAGAGTGTCATTTCCACGGATGAAACAGTCAGTGGCCTGGTTTGGAGGTGTCGATCTTTCATACTTTCCCCATTTCCTCTCCCCTCACTTCCCCTTTCTGCAATTCCTCCTTTCATGTATTCATTTGCAAAATGATGAAACCCTGAAAACTATGACGAGAACACCGGCCTGGCTTTCACGATGTTTCTGATTATAGCAAAAATGTAAAGAAAATACCAATTATTGAATTATTGCCATTAGACAAACCAAAACTCTGCTTTGGGCAGTCTTGGTAGTCCAGCTGTCATTTTTATGACTGGCAGTGTCTAGTACCAAGACTTTGAGACAATTCAATTAAATTTTTTCAAACTTTTTTTCTTTAAAAAGGGGTTAAACGCACTATCTTTTACTAGACAATGTCTAAAGTGTCTCTTTCGTGGTCAGTTTGCCGGCCCCATGCCTGGATAAAAGCAACGGGTTTTACCTGCTTTGTGTGCTACTAATTTGAAATTCTCTCCCTACTAAAGCTGGGATCCAGTTATATGATCACATGTGCAAATTAGGTGATGATGTCATCGAGCAACTTTCAGGACAGCCAATTGCTGCTTTCCTTACTGAGGAGTCGGCAACAGAGCTTTGAAAGCACAAAGTTTGGTTGTTAGCTAAAATGGTGGTCACTCTCCATCTTTCTCCATCTAAAACAACTGCATCCCTATTCAATTCCAGTAGTTTAATGACTGTACCGTGGACATTTACATATTTGTCCATTTGGTTAACTTTGAAGGCTATTCAGCTTTTTAGCTAGCTGCTAGCTTGGCTTGCGTATTAGCTCACCTGCCTGCTTTTCCAAACCGAATGGTCTTGATTACAGGCCAGGCACCGACAGATGATAGCAACTCTGTACATCATTTGTAAAGTTGTTTGAGTAACTAAGATCTACATTAAAGAAAGAACTAGACAAATCACACCTTTAGGAATACATTTCCTGCCGACCTTTTGTTTCACCCACTTCCCCTCTAGTTACTGATCAATACGAATCAACCCACAGAGCTTGAAAATGTTTCTAAAAGACAGTGAGAAAAAAAATACGCAGAGGGAGAAGCGGTGGAAGGAGATAAGGGGAAGGATTGATGAAGACACAGTAAGTGAAAGAAAATACATTAATGGAGTGGATAAAAATAAGAACGAGGGCTGGTCCTTGGTGTAGAGCTCCCCTCTGCTGCATGGAGAGTATTCAGAGCCAGTTCTGATTACTCAAAGGAAGCACCTATACATGAGCTTTGCATATAAGTGTACGCACAGACACAATAAAGAGCCACCCATCACTATTTTCTACAACTGTTTGAATCCCTGTTTGTTTTCCACTTTCCAAAAGCATCCACCTTCTATTCAAAATGGACAACGTGTGATATGACAATATGAGGAGGATGAAGGTATATTTCAGGTCACATGAGCACAGAGCCTAAAAGGCTCACTCGCTTCAACAAGAGGGGCTGTTTTTCTAAAAACACTGATCCCACTCATAGTTACTTGACCAAAACTTTGTTACATAATGATATGTTCTACAGATTGCCAAAAAATCTACAGAAATTGCCAAAGATTTACTCTTTCTTATTTGTTTTGAAATACATGTGAATCACCACCAAATGTTCTGCTAGAGCCCAGTCACCATTTATGGCTTCGTAACAATAAAAAAGGCAAATGACCATGAAATAAGTGCTATCATTTTGTATTGAGTATTTCAGCTAATGTACGACTGGTTATTATATCATCATCAATGTCCTCTTGAAATTAAAAACCAGAGAGTGAACACAACACAACACAGGGAACATATCCTCCATTATAAATAAATCTACACTGAAATTATGGTTTCTACCTGTGACGATACAATTTTCCACTTTTTGCCTTGGGTTTAAACAGGTTTAGCCATTTTGTTTTTTCCTTTCTACATAGTATCTTCTTCAGACTAGACTTACACAGCAATACATATACCAAAATATTCTTGTCTGAATAGCTACAAAAAAAATCTGCTCTTGGGTTCAGTCTCAGGGATTAAAATATTAAGGAGAAGCAAGAGAACAAAAGCACTTTGCTTGTATTGAAGAATGCAGTCTGAGAAGACTCTAACCTCACAAATGGCACACCCTCTGGAAGGCAATTCCATTTCCATCTGGATCACACAGATAAGAAAAAATGGCCTCCATTCAGGAGTAAGGGTGTCATTTTGTGACTGAAGATTGCAAGCATCCGGCAGGCATCCATTTCTGCTGGAGCCTCGGCAAGCAACTACGGATCAATTTTCTGCTACTCCAGACCTATTTAAAGGTTATAAGGTAATGCCAGACCTATTCCCCATAATTGAAAAAACAACAACAAAAAACAACCACAAGAAAAACAAAGGGAATAAATCCCCTTTGCTCAGTCTCACTGGAAACAGACACATTAATCATCCTGTTCCCCAACAACCAGTCATATTCTTTTCTTTAAGATCACACACTTTCCTTACTTTCCTTACATGTTACTCTGAAAAACTGACTTATTTTCAACTAAATGTAAAGAGAGCACAGAACTTTCTTCAGATGTCTTTTTGTGATGCTGTAGACACTGATGAATATTTCAGTGGAGGGGGGAGGAAAACATGAGATGTGCTTATGTTTAAGCGTCTGACCTGTATGGGGATAGATGGATGGCCTTCTTCACACTTTGGGTAGATGCGAGCCAGTTGACATCGTAGAGCGGCACAGTGAAGGTGATATTTTTCAAAGCTTTGAGAAGATTTTTCTCGTGAGCCATCTCACAGCAGCTTTTAATGAAATGTGTACACAGGGAAGCTCATCTTCACAGTCTGCGACATAAAAAAATAAACAGAGAAACTCTGCGTAGCCAGCACGCATTTATCAACAAGTTCCCTCTCGGAGCCGCTCTACTCTGTTGACGCGGCCGACATTGCATTTAAATGCTAAATTATACTTGACATTTGCATGCAATAACAACTCTGCACGCTGTGAATGGGGACGTGGACTGACATTTGTCCCGCTGCGGCGAAGACAAAGGCAACATCCGCTCAAGATCGCGCAGTAAGTGCTCAATTTGGACACTTTTCCGTGCCCACTTTCCGTCCGAAAACAAGGGCCCAAACGGCGCTTTGCCACCCACCTCCTGCTGTTTACGCCAGCAATTTGTGTGAGAGCGTTGTGATGGAGCAAGGTGAGTGTTCGCAAACAGGAAAAGCGTGGGCAGCTATTACAGCCTCGTCTTTTGAAAAAAGCTAAGACGCAGCAGCTTTTTCTGAAACGTTTTTCCCCCTCGTCTTTTTTGTAGTTGGTGGTGTTTGTACGGATGAAAGGAATGAAGCGTTAGCTTGAGTGCTGCGAGCGCTGGGGGCTGCTGCTCTGAGGGCGCCTGGCGCCCGGCGGCAGACGGCCCGGGTCAGCGCGGCATCTGTCCGTGCGCTCGCGGCAGGGGAGGTGTTCTCGTTAGCTTCCCGTGTAGCTGCGCCATGTGTTTGTGTGGGAAGGGCCAGGTTTGGATGAGACCGGGAGCAGAGTGCCTGCATCAAAGGGAGCCCAACTTATCCTCTTGCTGATTCTGCCATATGTGAGAGTGCGAGATGCTATGAGAGGAAAAGATGAAGTAAAAGGGGAGATATTAAAGCAGGGATTAAACCAAACAGGAGGAGTGCTGATGGATAATTAATGACACTTTTTTTCACCCCCCCGCCTGCCCTCAGCCTGTGTTCGTCTCAGTATCTTCTCCGTGCAGAGCTATGACCTTTTAGCGAGTGTGTAATTCTAGCACCTAGCATGAGCATAATAATATATGAAAATCCATAAGGTCCGCTGCACACTGTGCAGACTGAGGACACAAAGCTCTGGTGCTGACAGGCCGGATCGGGGCCCAACACTCAGACGGACTATTATATCAGCAGCTGTCACGCTCACATGGGGCGGGGGGGGTTGGGTGGTATCGCCACAGGTTTGCTAGGCTTCTGCCGAAAACATCCTGACCTCAACAGCTATTTTTAAACCTCCTTTCTTCTGTACCACTGTTTGTGTATATTCGATAATAAAGGGCGGTCACGTTTGGGACCCATTTGGCAGTATTATATGCAAACCTTTCGGACGCTTACCACAAATTAAACTTCAAACCGACGGGTTCTTTATCTATGGTCATACTCTAAACTGTTCACCATTCACCGACACATTCACACACTGGTTACATCAGTGGGAACACCAGATGCAACCAGTTGGCAAATTGGGGTTCAGAGCCTTGCCCAAGGACTCTTGGACATGTGGCCTGAGGAACATGGAGTTGAACCACTGACCCTCCACTCAGTGGGCAACTGCTCTTTTGAGCCATGTAGGCTCGCAATGCACAGAAAAAAAAGTTTGAGTTCATTGCTATTGCTATTGCACCTAACAGAACATAAATCACCTTCTGGGATCATAACATATATGTCTTAATCACCGTTCTACGGTTTCAAACAGTCAGCTATGATGTACAACACTTTGAATTGCTTCGAACTACTCTTGAGTGTTACTGCACTTATTTACAGAAGCCCAGTCCACTTAACTGATTGATGAGTCATCTGTGTTTTTGTAGTTGTCTGGGAAAATACCATTAATATCCAAAGTATGTATCAGCGTGTGTTAAGTATATCATAAAAAAATATGTAAACATTTGTTTTCTATAGGATTGCAGTAATTATGACTCGACTTTTTCTTTTATGAAGCTGAGCTGATGTCAAGAGTTTCACAATATAACACCTTCAAAAAATATTTTTTTGACCCAACAGGGGAAGAAAATGTAGTTCTTCAGCACTTGAAGGGAGCTCATTAGTTTGTGAACATGGCAATCCCCATATTGGGTTGTGAATGCAATATTTGGGTGTTTGTTTGGACTGAAGGTAGCGCATATGACCCTGCTTAAAATGTGGCCCAAAATGGCTTTTTAGAGAGTGCCAACCTAAAAAGGGTGACATTGTGCGAGACTTTCCTCAACAAATCTATATCACCAATAGATTTCCCTTAGGGGTCACGAGTGTGCTATTCTTGCCCCTGAGGTGAAGGAGAATCCCGATATAGCTCCTATCCTTAGCTCCAATCGATCTGCTGACATACAACACCCATCGTCCCAATCCTCTCATTTGCTTTTTTTTTCCATTTTCCCCATCTGCAGCAACCTTTTGTCCTCTTTAAACCAGTTCCAATGTCGGTTTGTCATTTTTTCAGCAGTCCTTGATCTTTGCTAAATGCCTTGGGCCTAGCTTGATGCTGCCTGCGCTCCCATGGTGTCAACTGCTCTACATCTCTCGTGCCAACTCAAACTGGCAATAGGACCACAAGAACTTAGCCCTGTGGTCTTTTTCTCCTGGATATTAAAAGGCCTAAATGTGCAGTCTGATGTTCCAGGTTGTGCTGGTCTTGGTTTTCCTTTTGTTGCTGCCCAGAGATTTAGAAGAGGTAACTGCTGAAAACTGACACACGTGGGTTTCATGAAATATGTAATACCTGTAAAAAAGCTAATGTGTGTACAAACCTACCAGAATCAAGAGAGAAATATCCTGCCCATGCTCTGAGGGTAAGACAAGCTTACAGTTAGCTTTAGCTGTGGCTCCGCGGTAACTGATATCATAAGGCCGAGTTAAACAGGACACTCAATCAAACCTCTCTCCTTTCAGCCTGCCAGCAGTCTCATGTTGCCTGGGAAACAAATGATCCCAGAGGCTTTGAGAGCTGAAAGGGTTACTGCACTGAATTTTCAGCTCTCTCAGGACCCTCAAAAAGGGGGACATCCCTTACAGAGAAAGGCCCCCAGGGTAAAGGGCTTTCGAGGCAAGGAGTGAATTTTAGCTCATGTCCCAGGACAGCGCCGTGCGGCACCACAGGAGCAGCAGCCTCGTAGATACGCTCTCACAGCCACGCTTACGAGTTCTGCTACCCACAAAGCGCACACTGCAAGGGCCCACACTTCCCAAACTGAAAAGGCTAATTACTCTCCCAGCATCAACTTCCTTCTCTTGTTGCTTAAGGCCATTGCTCGCCAATCTAGGTCAAGGATTGTTCTGTGATGGGAGCACAGACAAGGGACAAAGTTCGGCAAGTGAAAGATGTGGCTCGTCCCATAGTTGTGACTGAAAGGACATGGTTCGACCGAGCAGAAAGGTTAGATGGAAAATAACTACAAAGAGAGAGTCTTCTCTTTGTCCTGACGACAAGGTTACAATCCCCACTCAGTTTTTGTCCACCCACCGTCTTTTCCATCGTTTATTTATTTATTTATTTGTTCCGTTCATCTCATCTTGCCCATATTCTGGAGTCTGTGTGGAATTTGCTAAACGCCCTGGGAAAAACGGATAACACCAGAACCTGAATCTGTCAGTATCACCCTCGCCACCTCCATGCGCTTGCTGGCTGAATTCCACCTCGTATCGAGCATATGGTGATCGCACATCCTTAAAGCAAATGCACACAAAACATCGAATCGACCATTGTCCGGAATTTTGGCGGTGTTTCCATCTATAGATCTCATAAATGAGGAACAACTGGTGCGGCCCGCCATATTGCTACGTTTGATCTGAAGATGCTCTCAGTTCAGATCCTGGTGTATTTACAAAATGCAAAGCAGGCCCAAGTCGATTCGCAAATCGCTTTGCCGTGTATTCTCCTCACAGAAGTGGCGTGTGTCGAGAAGAGCGGTGCGAGGGCCTGGGGGCTGTAGCCAAAAAGTCATCTTTTCAATACTTACATAAAGAGGATTTAGTGTCCTCTTCGTGTTCTCACGACTGTAATCTAACTCTCAATCAGCATCGCTTACTTCATGCAATCTCCCCTGTATCACAGGAAGATTTGATCCAATGTAGTTGATGACACATCTGTGCTATCTCTCTTAACTCAGGCAGTTTAAGTCAGATGGGGCACTTTAGGCAGACTATGATAGACAGAGAGATGAATGAAGCACGGAGGCACCAGTGAGGGGTGAAACGTAACTCAACATCTCACCAGATTAAAGCCGGGTATGCTGCACTGATGATAAAGGCAGGAAAGAATCTAGAAAATCTCTCAGGAATGGCGTCAGGTGACTCAGCCAGAATTTATTTTGTCTTTAAGATCTCTAGTTGAATGAAAGAGGCCTCCGAGGTGAGAGGAGAAGGCATCCGAAAAAAGCAATGCTGGAAGCTGTGCAGCATTCTAGCGCTCAGGGGGCCGATGGCTAGCTCACATGTTCAGACAGTTCCTCAGCCCTGGCTTGCTGCCTCTTTTGGGCTTAAAAGAGTGCCACCATTTCCTTGTTGACACGTCAATCTGTTGATAATGAGCTCTGAATCAAATCCTTACAGGTTAGCAGTTCCCCCAGATTTTCATTTTCACTGGTTTACAACTCTTAGATGTGAGACTTTCTCCTTTTACAGCATGAAAGGAAATCCTTAAAGTGTGTGATAAATATTTTATGCATTTCTCACTCACACTTAGATGCTGAGAGGAGTTCCTTTTGAAGAAATGTGTCTGGAACAAAACAAATCACCAGTAGATGTTCAAAAGCTAACCACAACCAACACCAAATTTCCATCTAATGCTTATTATCATATTGGAAACCAAATACCACAGCTTTGCTGTTTAAGGTAGGCTACTGCTATTTACATTTACATTTATGCCTTTAGCATTTTATCCAAAGCAACTTACAAAAAGAGGATATATTTATGCAGGACATTAAAGATGCATAAGTATACGGGCTATCTTCTGAGCTGAGAATTTTTATACGTTTTTAGAGTCCTTATTGCAGTGGGTTCTGTT